CGGCGCTAGCTCCAAACCAGCTCGGCGCTGTTTGTGGCGGAGGCCAAGCGTACGCTCGCTTTCCTGTTCCAAGTTCGCTGGCGGCAGACACTTCGCGTGCAGCGCCGTGTTTGGTCTCGCATTCGCTTGCTCGAGCTGAACGACGTCGCTCGCTTAGGACTCGCCGACTTGTTGGCGACACGGTGGTTCGCGGAGTTGTGGCTGCGGCTGCCGCTCCTAAGCTGTTGCGCTACGGGGATTGAAATGAGTCTTTGGCGATATGTTACATAACGGTGAAATTGTTAGCATGTCGCATCTCACGTATGTTTTCATTTCGCCTAGCACGTATTTCTCATAAGCATTTGTATTCATCCTGTGTCACATTGTGACTCACTATTTTACATACTTATTGTGCAGCCGTGGGCACAAACCGTGCTGAAGACGGTGTCGCTTGCGTCTGTGATGCCTCTCATCCATCTCTTTCGTCAGAGCAGCTTCAGAAGGACTGTGCGAAAAGTGAAGGTAGAGTTATTTGTGTGTCATACTTTAACGCTTGTTTTTATATTAACGTGCACGTACTTGTCATATGCGTGCATCTTCATCTTCTGTCACGTGTGTCCTAACTATGTTTACTATATATTGTACGTGCAGCCATGGGAACACAACAGGCAGAAGGCTGTCTGCGCATGGCATCTGCAATGCCTGTCATTTATCGCTTCCATCGGAGTGGCTCCCCAATAAGTGAACAAGATTCGACAACGAGGCTGGACTTGTACACTTCACTATGAATTCAATTAAAAGAGTGGAGAAGCTTGATGTGTATGTAGAAAAATAAAAGATTTCGATGTCTCACTTTTGTCTTTCCTTGTTGCCATGACTGCGAAGGCAGTCACACATAGGTGGCTAACTACTTTTTTGCCGGTTCTTTTCCGCGCAATTTGTTGCTCACAACGCAGAAAAAGAGGCGAAAAAAGTATTAGGCCTGGCGGAAAATAAACGCAAAAGCAATGTATTTGAGTAGATCAACTGTTCGTCGGGCAAGGATGCAAGTGTGAGGACTAACGGCTGCCCGGTAAGGTGTAAATGTGAGGATTAACAGTTGCTCTATAAGGTGCAAATGTGAGGACTAATGTTAGTCCTTAGAGGTGAACTGTGGGACTAACGGTTACTCACTAATGTGTAAATGTGAGGGCTAGATGTTAGTCCCTTGAGCTCGTCTTTGTAGACTAACTGTAAGACCCGGTACCGTTAGTCCCCAAAAGAATTAATGGTTGTTGCAGCCCCAATGGTCCCCAAAAGGACGAACCACACACCCTTTTAACACCCTTTTGCCTTAGAGTGTAGGTACCAAGAGGCAGGGAGCCAATGCGACGGCAGGAGTAAATATGCGTTGATAGTTGGCGATGGAAGCTGCCACATAAGCAGCAGGCTGGCGGGTACGTTCCAGGGTGGAAGAGGGCAAGGACGTGCTGGAGTAAGGAAAGTGTGGGCTTGCGCTCTTTCTCATAAGGTATTGCGGTAAATTAGTAAAACTGTATTGCGGATGAGTTCTTTAATCAGATATCCCTCGAACTATCAGCCACCACACATACGGGGACCGTTGCTATTTTCTAACAGAAACGCAAACAATGCGGCATCACACGCACAACGACGTAAATAACGGGGTCATCTGCTTACCTTTCTGAGAGTGATGAGCCGGTTCTCAGACTATGGCATTTGCGTCAGTGCGCAAAAGATAATACTGGATAGCCACTCAAACATTCAACAGGTGGGTGTGCCAACACAGTAACAAATTGTTTTCCCTGTTTACTCTTCTCGCTTCGCGGGCACCTGCCCGAATACAGAGGCAGCGGCCAAACAGTCATGGGGTTCGCATACGCACGACTGGGGTCGAACGGGTTAATGAATCGTCGAATCTGTCGAATTTTCCCAGAACCCTTTTCTAATTCCTATATGTACGCAGTGCCCCGGGCTGTCTTCCTCTGTGAATAGTCCCTCGCAATATCTAAAAATTGTGTGGTCGTAGGCTTGTGAGTTTCTCAGATATCTTCTTTCCAGCACGAGAAATGGTTTCACAGACGCCTCTAACATATGAGTAAGCGGTGTTTCTGATTCAGATGAAAAACTTCCGGCCAATAAAATAACGCACACAGGAAACGAAGAAGGAGACAGGAAAGAGGCCAGACTACCAACTGTTTATTCACATATGCGTGGCTCAAGTATATATACTCATACGGTCACATGGTGAAGCTAAGTGCTCTTTAAAAAATAACCAAAAATTGCCCAAAGTAATAAACTGACTCATAATCATTCAAAGCTTTCTTCGCTCTACTAATCGCTACAGATTACAAACAAGATTCTAGGAACGTGTTTTCCTTCCTGCGCAGTGTCACGGAGCTATCGCTGCAGCATGCTTCACCACTCTTTGCAATATGAAAAGCTTCCAAAATTTCCCGTGCCAATTTTTCATGGCTTTTGCCTAAAATCTTGATTTCGTTCAGCAGTGGCTTACAATTGCACTGTTTACAATGAAGGGCTAGATTGGAGCCTGTGCCTTTCTCAAGTGATTTAAAATGTTCCCAGGCCCTAAAATTCACACAACGCCCTGTTTGGCCTATGTATAACATCCCGCACGTCAATGGAATTGCATACACCACGCCAACAACACACTTCACAAAAACCTTCCCATGCTTCGCCTCACACTGAAACTTCTTCTTTTTCCCGATGCGTGCACACAAACCACCCAATTTCCTTGGTGCGGAAAATACCACGGACACTCCAAACCTGAACGCCACTTTTTTCAAGCCATGCGCTACACGGTGCGTATAGGGCAACACCTGTGGTATCCTCTGCTCTGGACCTGTCTGTTTGGTTTTCTTTTTTCCTTTCATTTTTTGTAGTAACGTTTCAGCAACAGCTGACAAAACAGAACTGGGAAAGCCAGCGTTTTTTAGTCTCTCTATCTGGGCGGTGAAGCTCGTCTCAAGCATGTGCTCACATGACTTTGTCAGGGCAGATTCAAGGCAAAGAGAACCGATGGCCCTCTTTACCGTTTTAGAGTGTGAAGAGTTATACGGTAACAGCTCTTTCTTTGCTCTTGGCGAATACATCCAACACACGTTTCCATCACAACATCTAATGTTTATGTCTAAAAATTGGAGGCTATTGTTCAGCGGCACCTCATGCGTAAAACTCAGGCCTTTCCCTAGGTTTTTAAAGTAGCATAATACGCTTTGTACGGTGTTGTCATAAGTCAGATTAAAATCAGCTGCTAAAACTACCAAAAAGTCATCCACGTATCTAAAAATTTGCAGGACAGTGCCTTTGTCAAACGTGGATTCTAAATCCCGGTCAATGGAAGATAAAAAATATTACACAGCACAGGGGCAACGCAAGATCCAATGCATATCCCTTTCTTTTGAACAAACAAGCCTGAGTCAAAGGAAACAACCGTCGCCCGAAGGTAAAACTCGAGGAGCGACATAAACTTGTCCACACTAATGCCCACAGAATTTGAAATGCAACAGTTCCATTACACTCAATGCACTCTCGGACAGACTTAAACAGCTCTGTATGCGGTACAGAGTAGAACAAATCCTCGACATCAATAGAAAATAAAAAACCTATTTCCTTCTGCTTCTTTTTTAGAAAAGCAATGACATCTGTCGAATTCTTTGTTAAGAATGGGTCCCGCAACTCGAGCCCCCGCAAGTGGTCAAATAAAAAAGAGCTAACATGTTGTAACCAAGTACCGCGTTCACTGACGATACACCTGAATGGCATGTGTGGCTTGTGTGTCTTCACCACGAAGAATACGTCCAGAGTTCCTTTCTTGCATTTCCTGATGTCACTGGCTAACCTAGGAAGCTGCATCCCGTTGCACATAGCTATCGCTTTAGTCTTCACTCTGCAAGTTTTGCTGCTCACCTGTACAAAGTTCTTCGATAAAGCTTCAGTGGCCTTTTCCTTGTACATTGTCGCAGACATCACCACGAATCCGCCTTCTTTATCTCCTTGTAGTAGTCGAAGGTTGTTCCTTTCAAAGTAGGAGACGACATGCCGTGTGCTGTCTTTTGGTAGAAGGTCCCTTTTCCGCGCAGTTTTCATGATGCTGTCAACACCGTCCAACAGACACCGCTCACTGTCATCTCCAGCTCTATAAGCCAACTTCCTGTTTAACGCGAGTAGATCGTGCGCTTGGATCGTAGCGGCACGCTGTACTTCGGGCCTTTCTGCAAAACGGCAGCAACACCCTCGGGAACAGACGCTCCGTCCAGGAGAACAAGACTGCAAGGTTTCGTGGTCGCCTTTCTAGCCTTCCTCGGCAAGAACGGAAGGATTCCTTGCCACAGGAACTCGGTGTTCTGTGTTGCTATTCGCCTGAAGGTCCTCATTTTTTCTTCAACCAATCCATGCCGCGTCGCTAGCACAGCACAGCACCCGAATCCAATCGTAGAGTAGTCTAACCTGCCTCCATAATTCAGACTTCATGATCCGGCAGATACGCTTAACGTGTCCACTAGACGGTGTAGCCATTCCGAAAAAGGCCACGATTTCTGGTGGCACCAGACCATTTCGTAGGTAATAGGAGTAACACCTTGCACGGCATATAGCTGTGGCAATTTGACCGATGAGGACGTGTACTTGAGCACCCTGAAGATAGGAACATTGAAAAGGGCCCACTGTATGAGAAAGATATTTCAATAATACTCGTTGTTGGGCTAGTTGGTGCATTGCTTCAGATGAAAAACTTCCGGCCAATAAAATAACGCACACAGGAAACGAAGAAGGAGACAGGAAAGAGGCCAGACTACCAACTGTTTATTCACATATGCGTGGCTCAAGTATATATACTCATACGGTCACATGGTGAAGCTAAGTGCTCTTTAAAAAATAACCAAAAATTGCCCAAAGTAATAAACTGACTCATAATCATTCAAAGCTTTCTTCGCTCTACTAATCGCTACAGATTACAAACAAGATTCTAGGAACGTGTTTTCCTTCCTGCGCAGTGTCACGGAGCTATCGCTGCAGCATGCTTCACCACTCTTTGCAATATGAAAAGCTTCCAAAATTTCCCGTGCCAATTTTTCATGGCTTTTGCCTAAAATCTTGATTTCGTTCAGCAGTGGCTTACAATTGCACTGTTTACAATGAAGGGCTAGATTGGAGCCTGTGCCTTTCTCAAGTGATTTAAAATGTTCCCAGGCCCTAAAATTCACACAACGCCCTGTTTGGCCTATGTATAACATCCCGCACGTCAATGGAATTGCATACACCACGCCAACAACACACTTCACAAAAACCTTCCCATGCTTCGCCTCACACTGAAACTTCTTCTTTTTCCCGATGCGTGCACACAAACCACCCAATTTCCTTGGTGCGGAAAATACCACGGACACTCCAAACCTGAACGCCACTTTTTTCAAGCCATGCGCTACACGGTGCGTATAGGGCAACAACTGTGGTATCCTCTGCTCTGGACCTGTCTGTTTGGTTTTCTTTTTTCCTTTCATTTTTTGTAGTAACGTTTCAGCAACAGCTGACAAAACAGAACTGGGAAAGCCAGCGTTTTTTAGTCTCTCTATCTGGGCGGTGAAGCTCGTCTCAAGCATGTGCTCACATGACTTTGTCAGGGCAGATTCAAGGCAAAGAGAACCGATGGCCCTCTTTACCGTTTTAGAGTGTGAAGAGTTATACGGTAACAGCTCTTTCTTTGCTCTTGGCGAATACATCCAACACACGTTTCCATCACAACATCTAATGTTTATGTCTAAAAATTGGAGGCTATTGTTCAGCGGCACCTCATGCGTAAAACTCAGGCCTTTCCCTAGGTTTTTAAAGTAGCATAATACGCTTTGTACGGTGTTGTCATAAGTCAGATTAAAATCAGCTGCTAAAACTACCAAAAAGTCATCCACGTATCTAAAAATTTGCAGGACAGTGCCTTTGTCAAACGTGGATTCTAAATCCCGGTCAATGGAAGATAAAAAAATATTACACAGCACAGGGGCAACGCAAGATCCAATGCATATCCCTTTCTTTTGAACAAACAAGCCTGAGTCAAAGGAAACAACCGTCGCCCGAAGGTAAAACTCGAGGAGCGACATAAACTTGTCCACACTAATGCCCACAGAATTTTGAAATGCAACAGTTCCATTACACTCAATGCACTCTCGGACAGACTTAAACAGCTCTGTATGCGGTACAGAGTAGAACAAATCCTCGACATCAATAGAAAATAAAAAACCTATTTCCTTCTGCTTCTTTTTTAGAAAAGCAATGACATCTGTCGAATTCTTTGTTAAGAATGGGTCCCGCAACTCGAGCCCCCGCAAGTGGTCAAATAAAAAAGAGCTAACATGTTGTAACCAAGTACCGCGTTCACTGACGATACACCTGAATGGCATGTGTGGCTTACAGGTGAGCAGCAGGTGTACAGGTGAGCAGCAAAACTTGCAGAGTGAAGACTAAAGCGATAGCTATGTGCAACGGGATGCAGCTTCCTAGGTTAGCCAGTGACATCAGGAAATGCAAGAAAGGAACTCTGGACGTATTCTTCGTGGTGAAGACACACAAGCCACACATGCCATTCAGGTGTATCGTCAGTGAACGCGGTACTTGGTTACAACATGTTAGCTCTTTTTTATTTGACCACTTGCGGGGGCTCGAGTTGCGGGACCCATTCTTAACAAAGAATTCGACAGATGTCATTGCTTTTCTAAAAAAGAAGCAGAAGGAAATAGGTTTTTATTTTCTATTGATTTCGAGGATTTGTTCTACTCTGTACCGCATACAGAGCTGTTTAAGTCTGTCCGAGAGTGCATTGAGTGTAATGGAACTGTTGCATTTCAAAATTCTGTGGGCATTAGTGTGGACAAGTTTATGTCGCTCCTCGAGTTTTACCTTCGGGCGACGGTTGTTTCCTTTGACTCAGGCTTGTTTGTTCAAAAGAAAGGGATATGCATTGGATCTTGCGTTGCCCCTGTGCTGTGTAATATTTTTTTATCTTCCATTGACCGGGATTTAGAATCCACGTTTGACAAAGGCACTGTCCTGCAAATTTTTAGATACGTGGATGACTTTTTGGTAGTTTTAGCAGCTGATTTTAATCTGACTTATGACAACACCGTACAAAGCGTATTATGCTACTTTAAAAACCTAGGGAAAGGCCTGAGTTTTACGCATGAGGTGCCGCTGAACAATAGCCTCCAATTTTTAGACATAAACATTAGATGTTGTGATGGAAACGTGTGTTGGATGTATTCGCCAAGAGCAAAGAAAGAGCTGTTACCGTATAACTCTTCACACTCTAAAACGGTAAAGAGGGCCATCGGTTCTCTTTGCCTTGAATCTGCCCTGACAAAGTCATGTGAGCACATGCTTGAGACGAGCTTCACCGCCCAGATAGAGAGACTAAAAAACGCTGGCTTTCCCAGTTCTGTTTTGTCAGCTGTTGCTGAAACGTTACTACAAAAAATGAAAGGAAAAAAGAAAACCAAACAGACAGGTCCAGAGCAGAGGATACCACAGGTGTTGCCCTATACGCACCGTGTAGCGCATGGCTTGAAAAAAGTGGCGTTCAGGTTTGGAGTGTCCGTGGTATTTTCCGCACCAAGGAAATTGGGTGGTTTGTGTGCACGCATCGGGAAAAAGAAGAAGTTTCAGTGTGAGGCGAAGCATGGGAAGGTTTTTGTGAAGTGTGTTGTTGGCGTGGTGTATGCAATTCCATTGACGTGCGGGATGTTATACATAGGCCAAACAGGGCGTTGTGTGAATTTAGGGCCTGGGAACATTTTAAATCACTTGAGAAAGGCACAGGCTCCAATCTAGCCCTTCATTGTAAACAGTGCAATTGTAAGCCACTGCTGAACGAAATCAAGATTTTAGGCAAAAGCCATGAAAAATTGGCACGGGAAATTTTGGAAGCTTTTCATATTGCAAAGAGTGGTGAAGCATGCTGCAGCGATAGCTCCGTGACACTGCGCAGGAAGGAAAACACGTTCCTAGAATCTTGTTTGTAATCTGTAGCGATTAGTAGAGCGAAGAAAGCTTTGAATGATTATGAGTCAGTTTATTACTTTGGGCAATTTTTGGTTATTTTTTAAAGAGCACTTAGCTTCACCATGTGACCGTATGAGTATATATACTTGAGCCACGCATATGTGAATAAACAGTTGGTAGTCTGGCCTCTTTCCTGTCTCCTTCTTCGTTTCCTGTGTGCGTTATTTTATTGGCCGGAAGTTTTTCATCTGAAGCAATGCACCAACTAGCCCAACAACGAGTATTATTGAAATATCTTTCTCATACAGTGGGCCCTTTTCAATGTTCCTATCTTCAGGGTGCTCAAGTACACGTCCTCATCGGTCAAATTGCCACAGCTATATGCCGTGCAAGGTGTTACTCCTATTACCTACGAAATGGTCTGGTGCCACCAGAAATCGTGGCCTTTTTCGGAATGGCTACACCGTCTAGTGGACACGTTAAGCGTATCTGCCGGATCATGAAGTCTGAATTATGGAGGCAGGTTAGACTACTCTACGATTGGATTCGGGTGCTGTGCTGTGCTAGCGACGCGGCATGGATTGTTGAAGAAAAAATGAGGACCTTCAGGCGAATAGCAACACAGAACACCGAGTTCCTGTGGCAAGGAATCCTTCCGTTCTTGCCGAGGAAGGCTAGAAAGGCGACCACGAAACCTTGCAGTCTTGTTCTCCTGGACGGAGCGTCTGTTCCCGAGGGTGTTGCTGCCGTTTTGCAGAAAGGCCCGAAGTACAGCGTGCCGCCTACGATCCAAGCGCACGATCTACTCGCGTTAAACAGGAAGTTGGCTTATAGAGCTGGAGATGACAGTGAGCGGTGTCTGTTGGACGGTGTTGACAGCATCATGAAAACTGCGCGGAAAAGGGACCTTCTACCAAAAGACAGCACACGGCATGTCGTCTCCTACTTTGAAAGGAACAACCTTCGACTACTACAAGGAGATAAAGAAGGCGGATTCGTGGTGATGTCTGCGACAATGTACAAGGAAAAGGCCACTGAAGCTTTATCGAAGAACTTTGTACAGGTGAGCAGCAAAACTTGCAGAGTGAAGACTAAAGCGATAGCTATGTGCAACGGGATGCAGCTTCCTAGGTTAGCCAGTGACATCAGGAAATGCAAGAAAGGAACTCTGGACGTATTCTTCGTGGTGAAGACACACAAGCCACACATGCCATTCAGGTGTATCGTCAGTGAACGCGGTACTTGGTTACAACATGTTAGCTCTTTTTTATTTGACCACTTGCGGGGGCTCGAGTTGCGGGACCCATTCTTAACAAAGAATTCGACAGATGTCATTGCTTTCTAAAAAAGAAGCAGAAGGAAATAGGTTTTTTATTTTCTATTGATGTCGAGGATTTGTTCTACTCTGTACCGCATACAGAGCTGTTTAAGTCTGTCCGAGAGTGCATTGAGTGTAATGGAACTGTTGCATTTCAAAATTCTGTGGGCATTAGTGTGGACAAGTTTATGTCGCTCCTCGAGTTTTACCTTCGGGCGACGGTTGTTTCCTTTGACTCAGGCTTGTTTGTTCAAAGAAAGGGATATGCATTGGATCTTGCGTTGCCCCTGTGCTGTGTATATATTTTTTTATCTTCCATTGACCGGGATTTAGAATCCACGTTTGACAAAGGCACTGTCCTGCAAATTTTTAGATACGTGGATGACTTTTGGTAGTTTTAGCAGCTGATTTTAATCTGACTTATGACAACACCGTACAAAGCGTATTATGCTACTTTAAAAACCTAGGGAAAGGCCTGAGTTTTACGCATGAGGTGCCGCTGAACAATAGCCTCCAATTTTTAGACATAAACATTAGATGTTGTGATGGAAACGTGTGTTGGATGTATTCGCCAAGAGCAAAGAAAGAGCTGTTACCGTATAACTCTTCACACTCTAAAACGGTAAAGAGGGCCATCGGTTCTCTTTGCCTTGAATCTGCCCTGACAAAGTCATGTGAGCACATGCTTGAGACGAGCTTCACCGCCCAGATAGAGAGACTAAAAAACGCTGGCTTTCCCAGTTCTGTTTTGTCAGCTGTTGCTGAAACGTTACTACAAAAAATGAAAGGAAAAAAGAAAACCAAACAGACAGGTCCAGAGCAGAGGATACCACAGGTGTTGCCCTATACGCACCGTGTAGCGCATGGCTTGAAAAAAGTGGCGTTCAGGTTTGGAGTGTCCGTGGTATTTTCCGCACCAAGGAAATTGGGTGGTTTGTGTGCACGCATCGGGAAAAAGAAGAAGTTTCAGTGTGAGGCGAAGCATGGGAAGGTTTTGTGAAGTGTGTTGTTGGCGTGGTGTATGCAATTCCATTGACGTGCGGGATGTTATACATAGGCCAAACAGGGCGTTGTGTGAATTTTAGGGCCTGGGAACATTTTAAATCACTTGAGAAAGGCACAGGCTCCAATCTAGCCCTTCATTGTAAACAGTGCAATTGTAAGCCACTGCTGAACGAAATCAAGATTTTAGGCAAAAGCCATGAAAAATTGGCACGGGAAATTTTGGAAGCTTTTCATATTGCAAAGAGTGGTGAAGCATGCTGCAGCGATAGCTCCGTGACACTGCGCAGGAAGGAAAACACGTTCCTAGAATCTTGTTTGTAATCTGTAGCGATTAGTAGAGCGAAGAAAGCTTTGAATGATTATGAGTCAGTTTATTACTTTGGGCAATTTTTGGTTATTTTTTAAAGAGCACTTAGCTTCACCATGTGACCGTATGAGTATATATACTTGAGCCACGCATATGTGAATAAACAGTTGGTAGTCTGGCCTCTTTCCTGTCTCCTTCTTCGTTTCCTGTGTGCGTTATTTTATTGGCCGGAAGTTTTTCATCTGAAGCAATGCACCAACTAGCCCAACAACGAGTATTATTGAAGTGTTTCTGATGTGGTGTTGGTTCACAGGCTCGACGCTGAATTTCGCGGCGAGCGTTGCCGTGCTTTCAGAACATTCTTTGGTAGCTGTTACTTGTACTTGAGCATCTATACTTTAGCATTATTGACCTAATTGACCAACTGGACAAAGTTTATGGAGGGTGGTTGAGCCTGGGCTTACCGTGCTTACATGTTACTACATCACTACCAATTCGATGCCCCGCAATGGCGGTCTAGAGATTAGGGTACTAGGCTGCTGACCCGCAGGACGCGGGATCAAATCCTGGCTGCGGCGGCTGCATATCCGGTGGAGGCGGAAATGCTGTAAGCGCGTGTGCTCAGATTTGGGTGCACGTTAAAGAACCCAAGGTGGTCAAATATTCCGGAGCCCTCCTCTACGGCGTCTCTCATACTCATATGGTGGTTTTGGGGTGTGTAAACCCCACGTATCAATCATCAAATCAGTCAATTTGAGTGCAATTGACCATGCTCACTACCTTTCATACGCTTCCGAAATTTCCTAGCCCTACTTCGTATCAAAGCCCATTATGTTGCTATCACCTTCATTGTTTCGGCCTTGTGCAGAAACTCTGACTTTTTCCCGTAATCAAATGCGCTTCGCCGAATTGAACATGTCCACGAATCGGGCACCGCAAGAATCATGCCCCACTATGCACCAATATTGTGCAACCACTGCTTTCTATCGAATGTGGTGGTACATGAAGAATTTCATTGTGGCTAAGAGATTGGCTGACGCCTTCCCTTTTATAGGGGGCATGCCTAGGTGTTTAAAAAGTGTGGGGCTAGTGAGGGGGAAAACGTTGAGCTTTTAAACCACCGCCCACAGAGAGCATTTATCCGCAGGAGGGTGTCACAAAACGAGCGCGCAAAAAAGGGCGCGCCGCCGAATTCTCGCGACGAAGCACCGAGAGGTCAACGATAAATAAAGAAAACAAGCATCCAAAGACTCCCCGGGCGCGCCCCTCTCCCCTCGGAAGCGTGGGTTCGCCGACGAACCTCCTCTCATCGGCGCCCGAGCAAGCTCTGGAACGTTCTCACTGGAAAGGGGCGTGGTGATGCAGGGTTGCGTCATCCGTCGCGGATGGCCCTCGTACAGTCTCGCCTTTTCCCCAGCCTTCGCTGCATATCGCGCCAACAAAATGATGAGAACTTTCTGGAATCTCGCACGGAAGGTATTTATTGAGCAGTCGAGATGGGAGATCAGGAGAAGAAGGAATTTTGCGCCGGAGTGCGTAGGGTGTTCTGCCATGTCGTCAGCGAAGATTTTGTCATCAGTGACAAAACAGGAGAAGAAGAAATTTCGCGCCGGAGTGTGAAGGGTATCCCGCCGCGTCAGTCGGTGAAGGTTTTGTCCTTAGTGACAAAGCAGGAGAAGAAGAAAGTATGCGCCAGAGTGCGTAGGGTGTTCCGCCTTGTGGGCGAAGCTTTTTGTCTGGTGTGACAAGGGAGGAGAAGAAGAGGATTTCCACCTGAGAGGAGAATGAAGGCTCGAGCTACAGGCAAGAGTGTGTGTCTACCGCTATCGGGCGAAGACGCGTGGCAACAGCTGCGTGTGTGAAGCCGACGTGTTTCCGGCGAAGAAGTTTGAAGCTTGGAGAGTGGCCAATTGAAGACGCGAGGTTTCCTGGAAGGGAAACTTCGGGGGCAGCGGAACGACAACAACGCTGGACTTTGAGTGAGTGATTCTCGGAAGAGTATCATCCAGACTTTTGTTCCAAGAACTTTGGACTGAATAGGTTTTCTAACTCTTTAGTCTTTAAGTGTCTTTGTTGTTCGATGCATGTGACTGCATTGTAGTGCGTATTGTTGTTTGTGTCCGTTGTTTCGAGGGTGGCTGATTGTACTGTGTAGTAAATTGTTTGATTGGTCACATATTGTACTCAACTATTGTCGAGTGTGGATACTTGTGTATCGTTTTGATCTGCCATAATTGAGAATATAATTTTGTTTGTTTATCAACTCTCGGCTCTGACTTGTTCTTTGGGCCACAGCCGGCGTCCGCTGACGCGCCAAAAAGGACCACTTTTAAATTTTC